CCACCCCAACACCCCCACCCACCTCGTTACCTACCCGATTCCCTCGCTCGCCCTCTATATAATCTAGAACCTGACCACCCCCAAACTCCCCTACATAATGAACCCGCCCGCCCGGCCCGACTTGTTTTTCCCGCATGCCGTTCCCCCCTCCTGACCGGCAAAATGTCGACTCGTCTAATTCACGGTATAAAGCTGCTGTTTCTCTCACCATCTGCCTACTCCTCTCTCCAGCTCTTCACCGTCCCTACTGTGGTAAGTTCACAAAGATATTCGATCTAGATTCAATCATATCGTTCATTTTCAGCTCTGAAATCTTTCTATCTTCTAAGAGTAAAACTTAAATACATCCATTCATCATCTCAGATATCTATCTCAGCCGGCCAAGAAAATGATTCGATTTGTTCAGCTCTTGTTGTCTCGTGTCATGGTTGTTTGTCTTTTTGCGGGGGTCGGCGGCAAAAATGGTTTTCTTTCAGGAGTTGAATTATTCGATTTTATGTTCCGTGTTCTGTTGTATGATTTTGATGTGTTGACCGACATTTTCTGTGCCGTAGATTGCGGTTAAGTCCTGTCAGTTTGCAGAGAAAGACTGCCCAGTTTACGCGTTCATCTATCTTTGAATGGGTTTCTTTAAGAATCGGTCTCTCCCCCCCCCCGATTTCTTATTAATTTAATTGTGCTTTTGAATGGGTTTCTTTAAGAATCGGGCTCTTTTCCCCCATGATTTCTTATTAATTCAATTGTGCTTTCTTGTTGGTAGATGGTAGATAACTCGCGATGTAGTGTTCAACATGTGTTCCACACGTATCATGTCGTTGTTCCTTGCCTTTAGCCGGCCGCTACTTGTGTGGTTTGCTCCTTCTTCCCCCATCAAATATAGATCTATATCCTCTTTTTTCTGTCCTCTTTATTGTATTTTTGGGGGGTTGTTCTTTACTTGCTAGCCATGCGTCCAATGTTCGGCGTTTCTATGATTATCTATTTTTTTGTTGCAAGCGCCGCGGAATTTGGAAGCAAAACTAAAATGAAACTAAAGGTGGCCGGTAACTAAGGAACCACCAGTTGCCGGTAAAGTTTTGTCTGTGGGTAGTTGGAGGGTGCTCTACTCTAGTGTGGTTTGCTCCTTTCTCTCTTATGAAACATCTATCGTCCTTATCTCTGCTCCTCCTTTTTTTGTGTGTTTGTTACTCCCTTGTAACACCCCTAAGTTTCGGCACGTATATGACTTATTGTGTTGCAAGTGCCGTAAAACTACTGCGGGGAAAAAAAGTCCCAACATTTATCCGATTTATCTGTCCTCTTTATTATTATTTTTTTGGGTACTTTCCTTACTATTTATGTGTCTAATGTTCGGCATTTCTATGATGTTCTATTTTTGTTGCAAGCGTCCTGAAACTCGGAAATAAAACTAAAATGGGTAAATTTTTACTTTCACTCCTGCACACAGATGCACTGTTTCAGGGGTCAAACTGCTGTACTGTTTGCTGCAGATCACACATAAAGCCACTAAAACTGTCGCAAATCAATTATTTTCAAGACAATTTCAAATCTAACTGTAACATATCAAATTACGGGTTAAAACAGGA